CCCGCCCGCACCTACCATCTTTCCGGTAGAAGGCTATCTCCACTTTGCGCTCCTCGGCGCCCAGCAGGGCCTGCGCGATCTGCGCGGCAGCGCGGCGCTGCGTGCGCGGCCCGTGCAGGAAGTCGCAGGTGCAGGGCCGCTGCATCACCTCGGCCCGCGAGTAGCCGCACAGCTCGCAGAAGCCGTCGTTGCAGTAGATGACGGCGCAGTTCTCCACGCGAGCGTTGGCGATGATGAACTTGCGGCCTGGGGGGCGGGGATGAGCGGGCACGTGAGCAGGGACCCCAGCCTCGGGAGCTCCCGACCCTTCTCCACATCCTCTTATCCCCTACAGCCGCCCGGGGTCTCCCCGCCGCAGGGGGCACGGCGGGGACTGGGGCCCCCAGCAGGGGGCGAACGCAGCTGTGCCCCAACACAGGTGCCTCGGCTGGACACTGCCTGGCGGCGCGCCCCCTCCCCCGCCTGGCCCGCGAGCTGGCTGCGTGGCTTCCCCCGGGCAGGCCGCCAGCAGCCCGCCGCCCCCTCCGTGCCCCAGGGCCGAGGACAGCCTGGGCGGGTGTCAGCAACGCGTGTCAGCAGCCGCGGCGAAGGGATAAACACTGGGCCTGGAGAGGGAGACAGGGAAGGGCCAGAGATGGCCGCCAGGCTTCCCTTTGCACCCATTCCTCTGGATTCTTCCTCTATGATTTCTGCTCTCCAGACTGGGGGTCGCTCCCTGAGCCACTCCTTATCCCAAGGCTCCCTAGGAAATAACTCCCCAAGTATCTGAGGATCCTGCCAGATTAGTACCTCCTGGGACTTCTGCCCCTTCTCCAAGAGTGGTCAGGGACTGGGGAGGTGGGTTAGCCAGAGAGGATGAGGGAGGTATAACACGTTGAGCACCCAAGATGCTTTTTCGCATGTAATACTCTGAAAGCCCCCAGGTAGGAGTCATTATCCTGGTCTTGTAGATGAAGAAACTGAGGCTTAAGAGAAGGCCAACACCATGTCCAAGTCTCACAGCTTGTAAATGACAGAGCCAGCTTTTGAATCTTGGTCTGGCAGAGGCAGAAGCCGCTGAGGGTCATAGGCATAAACCCAAGGTCACAGGGAGCAAGGAAAGGAATTGAAGCTCCAAATCCTGGAAATACCTAGAACTTGGGATGAGCCTGAGACACTGGGCCACTTGTAAGAAAACAGACCCAGGAAAGGGGACCTTCTCTGAGGATGTGAGGCCTTCCTCAGTTTGGCCCTGCCAAAGAGAGGAGCCCCAATGGTTCCATTTTAGCTAGACTTGGCATCCCCACTCCAAGCTTGCCCTAAGAGCCAGGCTAGCGGGTGAGCAGCAGGCAGGCAGCAGCCTCCTTTTGTGCCAGGCGAGATGCTCCAGGGATAAGAGCTTTTTATAAACAAAAGTTTCCGGCCACTTTGGCCTTTAATGCCGGGGCTCCCAGTAACAGTTGGAACTCTCCCCCGCCCCCAGCAGGCACAGCCTTCAGGCTGTAGCCCTGGGCAATCCCACGAGCAAGAGCCTGGCTTCTGCAGCGGGGCACCCTGAGGCAGGCCCAGGCCATCAGGACCTGGCCTCCTTCCACCTTCCTTGGCCCTCCCTTCCCCTGACCTCCAGGAAGTTACTTTTTGGAATTGAGTCTTCAGATCAGTTCTCAAGGCCCCCCAAAACCTGCAAGGCAGCCATCCACCCCAGGAATCTGAGCTTCCTGTCACATGAAAAGATCCTCCAGCTCAGCCTCCAGGTCCTCCTTAGCCCTAGGCAATCCAGAGTACCAGCCACACACACCAGCTTCCATAGAAGAAAAATCACCCCTTGTCCTCCTAGGCCTGGGAGAAAAGAGCAAATTTCTTCGAAGGCCAGTCTCATTCCCCCCACACACACACACCCTTCACTGAGATCCTGGACTGGAATATAGGATCAGAAGAGCTGCCCCTCCCCAACACAGGTGGAAACTGAGACCCAGAGAGAGTAGAGTCACTCAAGGTCACATGGCAGTGAGTGGCAAAAGTGGGGCTAGAGGTCAGTGCCCCCCCCACCCAATCCTAGCCCAGGTTCTTCCCTGTGCATACACAGCCTCCCCCTGGGTCCACACCGCCCCCCCACCTCAAGGCCCTCCGCCAGTGTCACTGTCTCCATACCCTCTGGTTCATCTTGTTCCTCTGCTTCAGACAATACTGCCTGCCCATCGAACTGACCCTCCCTCCCCATCACCACAGTTACAAGCACACATTGTCCTGTGCTCACGGGGTCACGGGCAAGGAATGTCACCCTCTCCCAACTCCCAGGGCCTTTGGCAGTCACACCCACTGTGGCACATACAGCCTTGGGGACAGGCACATGAATACTTGGCAGTTCGAATGCCCACATCCAGGACATTTACCTATCCTGGGGCCCTTCTGGAAGCTTCCCTAGCAGGCCAGCATTAGGGGTGCTGTGGTCCCCACAAGAGGGTTGGATTACAGTGCCCAAGGAAGAAAAATTCACGACTTAGGGGCACTGCCAGGAGCCAGTAACCCTCAGTGCCTGGCTTTAGCCTCAGGTCACCCTCTCACCATAGGGCCTACAAACTTGCAGCCTTGTCAAAGACACCTCCCCACTGTCCATGCAGGATCTAACTCATGGGTGACACACGGTCTCAGGGTCATACACATGCCACACACACACTCAAGAGCAGATTAGGTGCTAAGGCTACATCCTTAAGCTTTTAGACTCCCATACACAACACAGTCAATATGAGCACGACAAGCTGGCAAGCTGTACCCTTAGGGTCCCAGGGTTTGGGTCATATGGTCTCATGTCCTTGCAGGCACACAGCCCCATCCACAGCCAGGCACCCGGAGTTGGGGACACCCGCACACTCCCATCCCACATCCCTTCTCTGCTCACTCAGGATGTCACACACACTCCCCCATCCCCAAGCCCGAGCTAAGCCTCCCGCCCCAAGCCCCAATCCAAGCCCCTTGGCCTTATGCCCACGGCCCGGAGCAGCAAGCCTTGCTCCTGCGGCCCCTGGCCAGCGCCTGGGACCCACCGGCCCCCACTGGCTCGCACTAGGCGATGCACACGGCCCGGGCACGCCCCCCCATCCACACTGGGAAGCG